CGCTGAATGAAGCAGTTCTTTGCTCCGCCGAAGGAAATATTTCCATGGCGTTGGGCCAAGAAAACCCCTCGCTTGAATCCGGGGGCTGGCCCACACCCAAAGCCAAGGGGGGCTGGGTGGGGGCGGGGCGGGTCGACGTGGCCACCTTTTCCTTGAGTCGGGATGTGACTGCTAATATCCAAGCCATGGCGGGGTTCTGCTCCGCCGAGATCCCGTTCTTGGCCTGCCTCAATCCCCTGCTAAATGGATCTCTTTAGGCCCCTCCTGTAGGAATGAAACCAGTGAAGTTCGCTTGGTTTTGTGGCTACCAGCTCAGAATTTGCTCTCCTCTGGTGCGGGTTCGAGAAAGCCCTTCCAGAAGTTGGGTGTGGCCGTGGCGCTGCCCCAGCCCTTGCGGGCAGCACACCCCCCACCCCCTAATCTTGAAAGCTCCGTCCAGGGACTGTGCCTGAACTACTCAGGAGGGGAGCCCCGAGGCTCTTGGTTTGTGTTTAGTTCAGAAAGAAATTCCATAGTTGACATCTCGAAGGGGGAAGCTCAGATGGCCAGTCATTTTGCATGGCCGCATTTAAAAACAACAACAACAACAAAAAACAAAAATGCAATTAGAAAAGCAATACAGGCAATAGAGACATGCATACAAGTAGAAGAAAAATCTCCCAGAGTCTATTCACCCAGAATAACTGATGGTTTTCTTGAGGGGGCTTTTGAGGGTAATTTTGGGCTATTACCTTCTGGTTCTTTTTCATTGGCTCTAATCATGGAAAGTATTGGTAAGGAACCGTGTCTACCCTCTCTCCCGCATACCACAAACCCCCAGAGCCAAACACGTGCGTGCACCGCCTTGAAGCCCAGCGGCTACTGGGGAGTAAGCTTTATCCTTGGCCTTTTGCAAAAAGCGCGGACTTCTGTTTGTCTTTTAATATCTACAATTTGACAAACTCCTCTATGCAAAGGTTGAGGCTGCACCCAGAAACTCAGGTTTCCGGGAAGCGGGGCGTTCCTGATATTGGCACCTTGGGTGGGAGAGGCCCAGAAGTACATGGGCACCCCTGGTGTACGGCTCCCCATTTCCCAACCCCAGAATCACGACATCCGGCAGAGACCCCCAAGCAACCAAATCATAGGGAGTGTGGGTATGAATTGTTTGGCTAATAAATAAGTAAAAAGCCAGCCCCTTGTCCAAGCCCTTAAATGGGAAAGACGTTAGTTAGCCTTCATTTTGAGGGCAAACTCAAGATCCTGAGAGAAGCGCCTGGCTGGCTCAGTCAGTAGAGCACGCGATTCTCGATCTCAGGGCTGTGGTTTCAAGACCCACGTTGGGTGTAGAACCTACTTTAACCTTCCTGAGGGGTTGTTAGCATCAGAGCAAGGGGTGGGTGTGCATTCTAGAAGAGCCACCGTCAATTGCAAGACCCTGCAAGATGGGACCATTATTTAATCATTTCCCCCAAATCCTGACTGCTTGAGGTCCAATCTCTCACCTTCTAGGAGGCAGAGAGGTTGTTCCTGACAATGCCCAGGTGTCTGTACCCCAAAATAACTTCATGGGAAGGTCCTCTGAATTCCAGGCTGCTTCTCTGGCTTTGGCTCAGGTCTATGGAGGGGAATGGTACGGAGTTCAGAGATGTGTGATTTTGGCGTGTTGAAATTGCCAGAGGCTGGCTTTGTATACTAGCGATTAGGAACGCCCAGCCTCACTGTAGCCACTTGTGGGAAGTGCGGAAGGGGCCTCAAGAGATTTCTGGGGAACACTACCATTTTCGGGGTACCCGGAAGACTGGGAAAATCTGCTTAGAAGGGTAGCCACTCAGGGGATGCTATTTTGTAAAAGCTCACAGTGTGGTTTTTGAGACGAGAGTGCATTTACCATGGCTGGGAGATTGATACAGGAGGACCTTGTCTCCATTTCCTGGCCAAATCTTAGGACATTTGTACACTTGCCCACAAGTATGTACATGTGGGTAGGAGGCTGCTCACACAGCTTTTGAGGGCTCCCAAGTATGAATTAAAAAAAGAAGAAAAATGTGTGCTTTGAATTAGATCTATGTGAAAAAAAAAAAAAAAAAAGGCAACAGGGCTAAACCATGTGTCTGGGACACTGGCTCTCCTCCAGGGCCCTTCCAAGAGAGCTGGGTTTCAGCATGTACAGAAAGAAAACGAGTCATTTCTCAAGCCTGGATTTCCTTGTCTGTTTGGCCCTATTGATATCAATCTGAGCCCTTAAATGTCCTTTTTTGAGCAAGGAAAGAATTCACGACATCACTCAGATTGAGAAACAGTTTGGATCCAAATATTACCATAGATTTGGCTCTTTAAGTTATTTCTTCCATTGCTTTGGACCAATAAATATTTAAAAAGTTAGGTTCTGAGCTCCAGAAAAGCCAACAAAAACATTTAAACATATGGATATCTTTTTTTATTGTGGTTAAAACCATACTCAGTAGAGATGAGTTTACAGCAGTGTTTTCTTTCTCTCTCTGCCTTTTTTTTTTCTATCTTTTTCTTTCTTTCTTTCTTTCTTTTAGGAAGCCAGGAGGATAAACATGTTGCCATGGTGTTCTGTTTAAAATAAAATACAATGGAAAGAAAAGCAGAATGATGAAGTAGCCACATGGACTGCAGGATACACCTGATACTAATTACTGTCATGCAGAATGTTCTGGAAGACATTTGACTCGCCTGATGTATACATTCAAATCAAGCAAAGCAGGACTGGAAGGCTCCTTGGGGACCATCTTGTCCAACTCTTTCCTTTTTCCAGATGAGGAAATAGGGGCCCAGGGAGAGGCCTGGACCTCAGCCTCCCAGTTAGGAGGGAGCAAAGCGGGGATTCAACCCCCCCCCCCC